TTCGGATTTAACCACACTTTTCATACTTACTCATTTCTCTCCTTTTTTTCACCGGCACCAAAGCATTTTCTAATTATATGTGTATTCTTCCACCCCCCCCCCCGGCACTCACAGTTCTGTATGAAATACCCTGTTAATGTTATTCTAACTCACGTGGTACCTTTATTAACTCCTGTGCACCCAGAGCCTTTCACAAAGAGAGCTACTATGGTGAAGCTCAAGTGTTGCCTCCTGCTCCTCGCTACCGTCCGTTTATCATAAGCTCCCTTTTCTTTCTTTACGTCCCACCTTGCACCTACTTCTTTGGTTCAAACCACGTACCCATCACTGTCGGTAGGCACTGCTTTCGTTGTACTTACTTTCTCAGTTTCCCAAACTCTTTCTAAACAAAGCTTTGAATGTACTTACTTTTATTGATTTCTAACTATCCGTCCCGACACAATGCTTTGAATGTACTAAAATAGTATCAGATTTCTCTAACTCTCTTTTTTGAACACTTATGTACATAAAATTAAAAATTTGAACACACAATTGACAATTTTGCTCATGCCAACAATATTTTATGCGTACTTTTCCTTTCTTTTCTCTTCACAAAATGTTTATAATAACGTGCACCCACATCTATTTGACAATTAACGTTGCCTTTTGAACTAACAATGAACGTTTGTATGTGTATCTACAACCAAAAGAAGCTGCTTGATTTATCATAAAAAATAGGGCTGGTTTCGAAAATTAGTCTACCACTTGTTTCTGAATTTTGAATTGGCCATTGATTGTTCAGAAAACTAGGACAGATCCTATTTATTCAATTCAAAATGCTAAGCGGAAACGTATTTAATGAGGGGGGGGGGGGGAGTGTATAGAAAGAGCATTATATAAATCAAATCCATTTTCTATGAGCCAGAAGAAATCGAGAATATGGAAAGATTAAGTTGTTCAAATTAGTTGAGCTCACAGTGAAAGGCTTGTACCAAGGTACATTAGGTTCAGAGAGGTATATTCAACGAGATCTTTTCAGAGAATGAAGACTTCCTTAGATATGGTTTTAACCCCCACGTGCAAGAAACATCTTTGTAAAAAAAAAAGATTCATTTTAGTTGTAGTCGTAACTTTGAGCAAACCAGTATTAAGAAAAATATTATAAGTTTCAAGTGAAAGGAACAGAAAATACCAACTAGCGATTCAATATTTTAAAAACAAACAAACAAAATACAACTTTCCGAGGTAATTTGTTATACATGTTATTATGCATCATGAGTAAAATAAGATATTGTGAGCCTTACCTTAGCATCTTGAAATTGTGCACTCATTCTTAAGTCAACCAGTGCAACAACTTTGTTTAAATTGAATACAAGAGACATTTAAGAGTTTGTAACCTCTCCGCTGAACATGTTTAAAGGCGATAAATCAGACTGTATTATTTGATACAAACAAAATGCCCCATTAAGGTTTGAATGCCTTACGCTCATGATACAATTGCAACTACAGATAAGACTTAACTGTTTGTATAAGGTTGCATAACGCGTTAGATATTTTCAGATCGTTTATCAAATATGTGTTCAATTGGTTAAGTGTGTATGTGTGTGTGTGTATGTATATGCGTGAATGTGTATGTGTGTGTGTATATACGTGTATGTGTATGTGTGAGTTTGAATATGTGGATGTGTGTATGAGTATGTTTGTGTGTCTGTTTGTGTGTGTATGTATATGTGCCTATGAGTGCAGCTGCATTTTTTGTCTTAAATTATGTATCGGTGCTTGTCAAAAATGACACTCCTGAACTATGAAATCATAATTCTATATTGATAACACCTTGAACAATGGACGTCGGCCCCAACACCTCCCCGTCCCTACACCCAGTCCCACTCCTTCCCAACACATTTCTGCCGCACACACTCACTCTGGGTTTCTTTTTAATTTTCTTTGGCATAGTAGAATGTAGGCACTTCGAACGAGTACCTTGTCTTTTCAGACCGTTCCAAAAATCGCTTGTTTTTGTTTATGCACATAATTCAGAATCTGCGTAATCTGACACCAAAAATGCACGCTGGCTGACTTTATTTTATTTACTTACTTCTATCTGATTCTGTGAATTCGCTGTTCTTCTTTTCCGCCCTAACTTGTACAGGGCCAAACTCTCTTTGCACAACGTCCTTCCAGCAGAATACTGTCAGCTGGAAAAAGGTGATACAGGGAGTATGTCTAAAGAAGAGACGTGTGTCAACTTGGAAGCGTCCTAGACAGACAATCACAAAAGGGTTCAGTAACGATGTAGGTTTATAATTTCACCACCACAATGTGAAGCAGTGCGCTTATACCTCTTTGAACATCTCTCTTTCCTTAACCTCTAAAAACTGACGCGTTCAATGAAGTGGTTTAACTTCATGAGGGCCTGAAAAAATCGGGCCATCCTTTGCCTATCTCACCCAACGGAACAAGACTGTTGCCCTGCCAGGCTTCAGACAAAAAAAACCCACAAGAAATTCATTGTCAGTGTGGCTCTAAATTTGTCTCGACTTTCAGACTGAATGGTCACAACTTGATAGTTTGCTCATTATAATTTGTCATCTCCAAACGATACCACCCTCATAACACAATAATTGTATTTTATATCTCTAAACCGTAAGAAAATAACTAAAGCTCTCCTTTTCTGCATTATGTTCTTAGTATTATCATTTTCTACTAAAACAGGTCTAATAATCTTCAAAACACCCCCTCTCACATGTAATATATTTTTTTTCTTTTTTTACATTTGATTTCGCCTCTCGAATTTCCATCGTCCGGTTAGCGTTGCGGAGTATATTGTGAACAAGTAAGCATTCACCTATTCTTACCTTTTTCTGTTCATTTTGCCCCCCAATTCACCTCTTTTTTTATTGTTAGTGTAGGCTGTTGTTTCGTTTTGCTCCCTTCACCACTTTCTATGCTTTTGATTGCTGGTGGCAGTTTCCAAGGGCCTGTGGACACATTAGAAGCTGCGTGTATTTGTGTTTGGGACTCTTGACTTTTTCACTGGACCCCCCCACCCCACCCCACCTTCCCCTCCTCGCTTGCACCGGTCACCACCCACCCCATAGTCATCATTTCACGACTCCACCCTCTCATCTCGTAAGCAACTTTCTCAACCCCCCTCCCCCCGCTCCCCCACCTTTCTCCCCTCACACCCCAAGTGTGTATGCGTGTCCAGTCACGTCTTTCTATCAGCATCTATGTCGCGAAAGTGTCGCTAAAGCATTGTATGTCATTCTCCTGGCGCTGCGACAATACCCACGACTCACACAGAACAAAAATTCCTACACTGTTTTTGCTGGTTTTCTCTTCTCTTTTTTTTTTTTGGTTTCGTTGAACAAAAAATAAAAGGTTTTCGAGAGGCCTTAATGAATCCATGAATTATGTCTCCGAAATTCTTTTGTCTTGCTTTGATTCAAGTGCAGAGTGATCATCATTGTGTCTATGTGCTTTTCTGTGTGCTGACGAAGACAAGGAACAGTAAGCGATACGAAAAACAATTGAGTTATACTATAAAAATAACACCTAAACTATACTCCGTCAAAGAAGCTATGAACAGAACAAATAGATCTACACAAAAAGTAGTAAACTATACATACAAGAAGTAAAGTATACAAAAAGACTATATACAAATGAAGTAAACGAAATTTAAAATAGGAAAACGATAAACAGATCCAGTAAACTATACAGAAGACAAGTACGCTTACATATAACAAGAAAGCTATACACATGAAATAAAAACTAAATAAGAAATTATACAAAATATAGATCAATTGCAAACAACAACAAAAAGAAAATGTTGATTCATAAAGAAATAAAGAGGCGTTACGGCACCACTTCATTGTGAAGCCTTATCTGCTTCTGTCTGCTGTATTGTAGGACATTTCTTCAGAAACTTTGGTGTAGATATCGTGGGTCAAGGTCCTCAGATTATACGTTGTATTGTCCTCTGTATACCATGAACGTTAATTTAGACATGACCAATACACTAAAAACTACTTCTCTTTACTTACCTGGGCTTTCTTTCGCTGTATTTTTTTTTCTTGAAGAATATATAGCTTTTTTTCGAAACCATACCATTAGATAAGGCTTCCTGAAAAGATTTTTGAGACATCGTACGTATACAGAGAAGCAAAACGATGATACCCAGGCGCCTAATCTGCTTCGATTATTGGCCATCGGTTAGACCAATTACTAACATGCTGGGATGTCATGAGGATAAGTGAAGTTCGAATTGCAGACGTGGCGTTCTTTGCCTTTGGCTATGTGTTGACTTTGACAAAACTTCAATCGCAGATTCTTCATTTTTCATAAACGTATGGGGTTCAAACAGACGCAACCCCTTTGATTGCTTTTTCTAACATGCAACCACGCATGTGCAACAGATACGCTCTCTTTTAACACATAACTTTTACGTGAGAAATCTACTTTGAGAGTCAGATTGACTGATCATTCTGACAATCAAAGCTTTTCCACTCAGGCGGGACTACCAACATTATACTACGCAATCAGTGTGTGCATCTCCTAGTACAAAACTAATGAACATGAGCCGTCACGTCGGACATAACACAAAACACTATGGAAAATTAACCTCAATTGCTAAGGGAGGGCTCATTACGAAAATTCCATACGCGCAAAGCAGGTATGAACAATTTTATCCTCTTTTAAGAATTGTGTTTTCTCTACGTAGGTTTATCTGCAGGCAATCGAGAGAGTCCAGGATCAAATGTGTGAATACTCATTTAATTAAACAGGGTGCTTCAATTTGATTAGGCGCTAACAACAATGCGGAATACACGTCACTGCTACTAGGGCTGGTCAAAGAGTCGCTTTAGCAAAATGCGGATGATATGTTAGTGCACGTCTTTGGCAAAGAATAATATTATGATATGAACCGCTTCGGCAAATGGGTTAGAACCCCTTCGACAAACGGGTTTGAACCACTATGGCAAATAGGTGCTCCCACTTCGGCAAACGGGTCAGGAAAGGGAGTTAAGAGTCTGAATTCGGATAATGTTTCAGTGAGAATTGTTCGGTTATCCGGATTGGTATCCGGATTTTGCCCCACTTCTAACTTCTACTGAGAGACGTATTGGATGTGTACACACCAAGTACACATACGTAGGTGAATATAAAACGGAAAAGCGGTCTATTTTTAATCATACAATGGCCAGTTTATGTTAAGGAAGTAGCAGTTGTTTCTTTTGTGGAGAAAATGTACGTGATTAACTTATGATTCCATTAATTTCGTAAAGAAAAAAAAGTATCCTTTGGAAAATAGCGAAACGAGTGCGTTGAACAAAACTTTCGACACATGACGTATATTTGTATAAAAATATATTCCTCTTCACAGGCATCTAATGTGATTATCTATAGTATCCAAACCAAGGCTGATTTTCTTTTGTTCATTTCTTTGGAATATATTAGAAACGCCACTTTGTACACTACTTTTGTTTTTTTAGACGTAAGATATAGATCTAGATATAAACTTTCTGAATACATTTTTCACATACAAGGTCCATTTTAGTAACAGGTCTCCATAAATATGCTCAACTATGAAATGCAACACACTTAATACATAGGAACATTTATATATTTCTATTTCTTAACGCGTCCAAAACCACAAATCAGACAATACTCTTGTCAACAATCCAATCCCCCTAACTTCCAATAAAAATTCTGCAACTCAACAAAACGCTATTATTAGAATAAGACAACGCCATTTGCGTCCTTTTACTCAAGATAGAATACATCGGCAGTTCAGTTCAAGAAACCCTATTCCACATTTTCCAGTTTATATATTTTTTCTTTCCAGTCATTTTTCTCCCTCACTACCTTTTTGTTGTTAGGGTGGGGCTGTAAATGTTTTATTTCCAGTCCGATACTTACATCGAAATTGGTCGCTTTTAAGCACACGGTGACTATCCCGAAAAACGCTGTTTTGAGAAAACTGAAGGTAAAGTTTACCCCTTGCTCAGTTTCTTTCAAAGACAAGAAGAGTTTTCTCTATAATCAAACAAATATAGACACTGCTGAAACCAAACTTCTCCTATGGGTAGGGCAAAGCCTACTTTTGGTGTAGATCACGATTTCCGGAAACCCCTGAAATCTGGGTTAGCCCGCTTGTCCTTAAAAGTGACCAATTATGTGACACTGAAAGATCTGCGGTAACGAAAAATAACCAATGTCGATTTTAGACAAAATAATGTAAACGGTTTTCTTGAACCGAACCGTCGACGTGTACATTGCTTTTTTTCTGAAACTGGAATCACTGATTATTACTAGAAGTGCAATCAAATTGCATTGAAGTTCCTGAAAATTGGTTATGCAATAACACCACTTGCTGAGCTGACCTATTAGATTCAAGGTCCACAAGTAGCTAATGTGAAACACGTAGGTATGTTCTTGCTTTCAGTTTGTACATTATAGAAAGCATTGCTGGAAAAAAAAAACTTGTCCAGCCTTGCAAAACAAAGATCTACTTCCCATTTGAGCCCTTGAGGCTGTTAAAAATGAAATTATGATTTCTGTTTTGAAAACCTTCTCTTCCTGTAATAGTGTCTACCCTAGCAAAAGTCTAACTTCTTCGTCATTGGCAAAGGCTTGAGCCATTTCATTTATTTGAAAACAGACTAAATCTTGATTATTTGATGCTAAAAATGCCTCACACGAACACAACTTTCAAACAGCATCATTTATCGATTGATACGTTTAAGAATTCAAATGGAAGAGATAAGGTGTTCTCCACCGATCCTTAATTTCCAAAGCATGTGTGACCTAAACATTATAAAAAAATGATTTTTTTCGGTAACACTGCAGGCTCCCACAAAAGTCTAACTTTTTTTCTTTAGTTTTATGCCTGAGATTTGTTTCTTGTACAAAAGCTGTCTCTCCATGGACAATAGATGCTGCTGTATTTTACTACCGAAAAAAACCCTATTAGATTCTGCAAGGTGCGAATTCTGAATACTGAAGAAAAAATGTCATTTGGCTTATTTTATCTACAAATGCTGATAACAGGAATGTTTTCAAAGTCATATTAAGGGGCATTTATTCATATTTCTAGAGCTTCAGAATAAACGCTTTGCCACGTCGTTTTTTTTTTATCAAGTTGTGGGTGTCCACTCTTGAGTTTAACTCGAGATTCATATCAAGTTAACAGGAGAGGATGGAGTCGATTCTAAGTTGTTTTAAAGTCTATTATTAAATATGTTTCAACACTCCTTCTCCAAGGCCAAGCTCATTAATTTGTGTTATCGTCATTCCATAATCGCCCGAGTTAATTTCTTGGGGATTTCCAGGAAAACCAGTTATTCAAATAAACACACCAAAGAACATTTAACAATAAATGATTATATCCATTTGTTTCGTTATTTCCTTCCTAGTTTTTACTTGAAAAAAATAACTAGTGTCCAAGTCATAGTTTTTATTTCGGAGCTTTCCGTTTCTTTAATTGTCTTAAAACTTCAAACTTTGTTTGAGCTGATTATGAAATGAAGCTGAAGCTGAAGACTACTATCCAAATACTGACTGTCCGGCCATAGCTACTCCATGCTCTGACCTCCTATTTTAGAAACTCTTTTCCCACCTTTAGAGCAAACATAAGACCAGGATCTCTCTGAACCTACTAATGCTTTAAACACAGACTGCTACTAGTTACAAATAAACCATCTGAACATAGATGCACCTCACTTTACTCGAAATATTACTAATTCTTGAGGCATCGTGGTAAAATCAGGCCTTCGTCAAAATAATGTAATCGAAAAAACCGGCATTTTAAAGCCCATTTTTTGAATTTTTTGTTTAATTATTGTTCTTTTTGACTCAACATTGTCCATTAAAAAACACATTTATGTGTGAACTTTACTGAAAATAGTTGACTAAAGGCACAAAAATATAAATTTGTAGTCTTCAAAACCTCTGAAGCTTTGGTAGTCACGAAACTTTGGCGGCAATTTTCTTGCTAGGTTTAATTCTACCTCTGAAACCAGGTGACCCCTACCTCCTTCAATTGCAAATATCTTGGCTTTTGTTCTAGACAAAAGGATACTTTTTTTTTCATTGATAAACAGACAAATGATCCAGACTTAAGATTTTACCCATAACTCCCCAAACCCAAAAATTGACAAGCGCCTGATTCCACATCGTCATAACACCATCCCTCTCGGTCACATAAACAAGGGTATTCGAAGTGTGCCATCTCTTCCCAACCTACTCTCCTATTTCCCTTCCCCTTTTCAACGTTTTCCTGTATCGAATGGGGAAGGCAGGTTATCGTCAAGCGCTGCTGGGTCAGATTAAAACAGTTCACGTAAAGTACAGCCGCACTATTAATATTATTACTATTATTATTATTATTATTATTATTATTATTATTATTATTATTATTATTATTATTACTATTATTATTATTATTATTATTATCATTGTCATTAATATGATTAACATTATAATAATTAGTATCATAATCATTATTATTATCAATGTTATTGTTACTATTATAATTATTATTACTATTGTTAGTATTATTATATTTTTAATATTATTTCTTTATGTTAATAATAGTAATAATAATAATAATAATAATAATAATAATAATAATAATAATAATAATAATAATAATAATAATAATAACGACAATAATAGATAGCATTTGTATAGTGCATAACCCCGCTCTACAGCAAGCTCTGTGCACTTTACACTATATCATTACCCCAGCAGACCCTAGAATACTCAGAAACATTCTCAGCTTCCTGGGAAGCGTACACTTCAAGAAGCTAATTAAGAGCTCAATGAAACAATAACAAATTGACAAGATATGTTATCATTCTCACTATTCTCATTTTCTTCATTATCTATTACTATTCAAGCCTTTTCTGTCCTGCGCGACAAAAATATCGAGGTGATAAGAATGTTGCACCCACATAAGAAAGAAAAAATGACAACAGAAACAAAACTGTTTTAAGGTATAAGTCTGCACATTGTCTTTGAACTGCCTCAGCACTAATAAATGTTTTATTTTCTTTGTAAGTCACGTATTCCCCTCCAGTTTCTTCGATGAAAGAGCGCTCACCAATTTCCAACAGCTAAGACACAACTCCGAACTATGACATTTGCATGATGACCTCCTCCTTTCGTGCATGGACCTAGAAAGTCTCCCTGCATCTTGTCTGCACGCTCCATGTTATTCAACCCGCAAAATGCATGTTAACCCTTCCATATCCAGCATGGTGTGAGCATAACAGCATGAAATACCCAACATACTCATTGTAAGCCTGTTTTTCGCACACGCATGCTTTTATTTCCGACTGCATGTATGTTATCGTCGGCAATCAAACCACACGCTTCCAGGCTCATTGTGTCTTCGCCCTGGTGTTTTATCATACCTGCTCGTGGGTTTTCAGCTTTCAAGTTTTGAGCTGCTCTCAGACACAACGACTTGGCAATTTCCTCCACCCACCCTGTTGCAAACGTGATATGAGGCAAACGACACCTTTACTCGCAGAGCAAAAGAGTGGCTCGCCTTTTACGAAAGAGAGCCTTGTGGCAACAATCCATTCATATAAGATGTTGCACTGATCAAAGTTAGAATAATAATAAGAAGAAGAAGAAAAAACGACTACAATATTATTATGATATTATATATTACATTTTCCGGCATCATCGTGTCGTTCATGGTGTATGCCGAGAAGTCGGTGTGTGTGAAAGCGGCCGGGTGCACCCTATTTTAGCTAGATTTGTGAGATGGAATATCACCGGTTTTGTCCATGTGAGTACTGTGTTCGTAATGCGTGATTTTTGCACTTTTCTTCATGTTTCGAGCCATATGATTTTGACTTTTATGATTCGACATGCTCACCAATAAAGGCTACCTACAGTAACTGGACACAAACTTTGGAAGCCAGTTTGGTGTACTTGCTGCTTGATTCTTCTGGAAAGTGTTTGTCTTAATATCTTCCAGAGTTGAGCTTCAAAGTATAGTAAGCCATTCAGTGGTACCTATATCAGAACATGGCTAGCACCTTATCTCGTGGGTCTCAATTTTGAAAATGGCGTATGTATTTTAGTGGACACAAAAATTGAAGTGAACAAAAAAGAAAACTTTTTTTTTTTTAAAGAGAAAAAAAAGAACAATGTCATCTCGAGACACCAAAAATTTGTTTTGAAAATGTTCACATTTTGTTGGAAGTGTACAAGGTTTTGATATTTTAAAGAAATATTTAGAGATATTTAGAGCTTTAAAGAGGTAATGAAGCCATGACGGATTTATTATGGCATTGTCCCGCTTCCCCACGAAGGGTGCTTGCCCTTTTTGACAGACGTGATTATTATTTAGTGGTGTATGTTTTGAGAGAGGCAACAGTGGCTTAATTTTTTTTTTCAGAACAGCGCTGTGTCTTCTATTTCGAGAATATTAATTTGACTGCTCCCCGACCCCCATTTCCTCCACTCGAATTCTTCATGTTCCTCTCCTCCTGTTGACTATCATTCTTTTCTTACTCCCTTTGTTAACGTTTCTTTCAATTGTATTAAATGTTGCGCTTTTGCGACTTTCAATTTTTATGCTATGTGTATAAGATGTCATTTTTCCTATCCATTAATGTCTGGGAGAAAAGAAGATGATGAGTGCAGAGGAAGCTGACGAGGTGCATTTTGTATTCATATATTATGTTTGATTTGCACTCATGTCAAAACTGTAACGTTATTTAAGAGCCTGGATCTTCAAATCCAATGTCCATCTCCTTTTTGACCTAGCCCCACACCTTTAAAAAGTTAAAATAGAAGAAGAAAAATTAATACACAAATTAACCTTCAAAAATAAATTATTTTGCACAACGCAATGGAATCGAACCCGCAGCATTTTACTGCTCAAGAAACTTGGGAAACAACAATTAAATTATGATACTACCTCGGATCAGATTTCGTGTATTATGTGACTGAAGTTATTATTTTTAAACTGCTTGACTGTACGTTTTACTACAGCTTTTCTTGTCTCCGTCTCTCTTGAATGTATGAGACATTGAGGTTAGCACCTCATATGAACTGACAAATATAAGTTTGGTACTCTATTCGTACGCTCTGGGGTCATTTTGTACCAACCGGGTTGTATTCTACACATATGAGAATAATTCTAGTACTTTCAGTATTTACCAAAAAAAATATTTTGAAAGACTGCTATGCAAAGTGTTCGGATCGGAATAACGAGTAAATTTCCTCTTTGGAAAGTGATGGCACAGAGTTCCCCACGTCGTAAGGATACGATAGTAAAACCCGACGTACGGATAAGGTTAAGAAATAAAGGGAATTGAACACACACCCTCTACATGTGACGGTTAAGTTCCTAACCGCTACATCACAGATGCCAGTTGAAATGTGTTTAGAAGGGCTTTTAATTTTACAATCTATCTGATTTTTTAAAAAATATTCTTCAGGTGCTCGTCTCTTGTAAGCCGATATTTGTACTTGTGTATACGTGAAGAGTGTGCATACTTCGGTGGTGATCTTACGACATTTGAATCTGGGTTATAAATTGTTCCTTCAAGCATTTCGGTTTTGGCAGTGATAAATGAATAGTTATAATCTATTTAGAGCGGAAGTGATTTCTTTTAAATTTAGTGAATCATGTACTAAGAATGCGTACGGGATCGTATGTGTACTCTTTGGTCCTTGTATATTTTAAGAATACAGGCATTAAATAAATGTGTATAGGGATGCACTGTCTTTGCTTGTGTGATTGCCAGTATGTGTGTGAGTGTGTGTGTGTGTGTGTGTGTGTGTGTGTCCGTGCGTGTCTTTGTGTGTTTTCTATCTGTGTGTGCGTGTGTGTGTGTGTGTGTGTGTGCGTGTGTGTGCGTGTTTGTTTATTTGTTTGTTTCAGGAGACATATAAAGAAATCATTCAGGTTCTGCAAAATGGGAATAGAAAACAAAAAAGAAGGAGGGGGAGAAAGAAAAACAATGTAATGCTCTCTTACTTTATCAGGATTAGATGTAATAAAGAAAGAACGAGAGAGAGAGAGAGAGAGAGAGAGAGAGAGAGAGAGAGAGAGAGAGAGAGAGAGAGAGAGAGAGAGAAAATGGGGGAAAGAGATAGAGACATTCAGACAGACAGACAGACAGACAGACAGACAGACAGACAGACAGACAGACAGACAGACAGACAGACAGACAGACAGACAGACAGACAGACAGACAGGCAGACAGATAGACGGACAAACACACACACCCACAGAAAAGGGTGATTAGTGAAGGAGAGAAGAGAGAGAGAAAGACGGAGTGGAGAGCGCGCGCGCGCGCGTGTGTGTGTGTGTGTGTGTGTGTGTGTGTGTGTGTGTGTGTGTGTGTGTGTGTGTGTGTGTGTGTTTGTGTGTGACCTTGTGTCTGACCCATATTGCTATGTTCACAGGACGGTGGAGTATGCCGTAGACACAGAGAACATCAGTATCTCTGCAATCCGGACCATCAGAGTGTTGCGACCTTTGAGGGCTATCAACAGGATTCCAAGTGAGTGATTTCATCGTCTAGGACCTCCACTTTTTTCTGCGCCATTCTCCTTCTCGACGTCCTTTTCCTTCCTTCCTTCCTTCCTTCCTTCCTTCTCCTCCTCCTCCCCCTCTTCCTCCTCCTCCTCCTCCTCCTCCTCCTCCTCCTCCTCTTCCTCCTCCTCCTCCTCCTCCTCTTCCTTCTTTTTTTTCTCCCCCTCCTTCTCCTCCTCCTCCTCCTCCTCCTCCTCCTCCTCCTCCTCTTTGTTGTTGTTGTTGTTGTTGTTGTTGTTTTTCTTCTTTTTCTTCTTCTTCTTCTTCTTCTTCTTCTTCTTCTTCTTCTTCTTCTTCTTCTTCTTCTTCTTCTTCTTCTTCTTCTTCTTCTTCTTCTTTTTATTCTTCATCTTATTCTTCTTCATCTTTTCTTCCACATTTTACTAGCTGGCCGTTGGGGGGTGGGGAGGGTATTATATTATTCTTTTCTTTACAAAATACGGGAGGGTGTAAACAAAATATATTCATTTGAAATGGCGGATCCAAATTGATTTAGTAAGAACCAATAGAAATACACTATGGATACCAGTATTATATCTCTGTCTGAAGTAGAACTGCCACTACTGTCACTGGAAATGCAAAGGATGGGCTCTTGGTAACCTCGGAATTATACAGTTCTCTCTGACAGTCTTTGTCGTTTTGAATTATTAAAACCCTGAGGTCACGAATCAAATTTTCTATTCGCTCCATCAAAATCGTACGATTATTCGGTCTCGTTATCAAGATATTCAAAGAACTGCATTCGACAAAGTTTGACGTGAACTAAAAATCTTTGACGTCAAATTTTTCAAAAGTAGGAACTAAGCAGATAGAACTTTGTAATTCCGAGTAAGCGTCTTGTAAATATCTAAGACCACATCATATCATAAATATAACGTTTTCAAAATGTTTTATGCCAGGCATACTTGTAAATCTTTTTTTTTTAAACAGTTGAACCAGAATGTTAAAATGTTAGATGCCGAGTGTTCAGTTCTGCTTCCTGTTCTGATAATTACCAACATAAGGGATATAACTGTGTAATTGCTTTATTTAGCATAAATTGTGTCCCTTGATTCATGTTTTCTTAATAACTTTTAATTAATACTTGGCTGCTAATCCGCCCTGGGAAAAGAGCACAACGTACTGTCTAGAAAGCTCATGATTCATGGTGTTTTCATTCATACAATACGCTAATGGAAGCATCGATTTTCACAAAAGTGCATCGACTGGTAACTTCGTCATTGAGTAAAGTGCAAGAGGCTCACAATATTTATTTTTAAATTATCAGAGCGGGAAAAGCACACACGTCTGTTTAATCATAAGTGTGTATTTCACTGGATTGATGTATGAAAAATGTGTTATTTTGAAAGCATAAGACCGTTTTGTTTTGTTCTGTTTTGTGGGGGGGGGGGGGGGGGGGGTTCGTTCTGTATTTTTTCCTTGTTCGAATAAGCAGCGTTACCATGCATTGTGCAATGTGTTTGTGCGTATTCTATAATTTTTTTTAATTTTTTTTAATTTTTTTTTTTTTTTTTTTGGGGGGGGGGGATTGTGTTGTGTTCTTGTCTGTGTATGCAGGTGTATGCTCTTTGTGCACGCGAGCTCACGCGCGTGTGTATGTGTATGTGTGTGTGTGTTTGTGTGTGTGTGTATGTGTGTGTATGTGTGTGTGTATGTGTGTGTGTGTGTGTGTGTGTGTGGGAGAGTGAGTGTACGTGTGTTTGTGGGGGAGGGGGGGGGGGGTTCATGTACTGCCAACGGTTACATAAATAAACTATCGGGCCCTTTAGTTGAAGTTTTTAAACTATTTTCCCCTGTGTGTTAAAAGTGAATTCATCTTCACACTTTGTCTGTCACTACCATTTGTAGAAGATTAAATTTAGTACTACCAGGCCTTTCAAACATTCCACTAAGCAATAATAATAAATAAATAGCATTTGTATAGCGCATATCTCCGCTCAACAGCAGGCTCTATGCGCTTTATACGATATTATTACCCAAGCAGACCATTGAACACTCCGAAACATTCTCAGCTTCCCGGGAAGCATACAGTGCAAGGAGCTGATTAAGCGCTCAAACGCTAACAAACTGACAAGATCTTTCGCTGTCTATAGCCGGGTACCTATTCCCACCTGGGTGAAGTGAGGAAAATTCGTGTAAAGTGCCTTTCCCAAGGACACAACGTCGGGCCCCTGACGGGATTCAAACCCACGACCTTACGGTTGCGAGTCCGAGAGCCTAACCACTAGCCTAACCTAGAAGCAAAGTGATGTGACCGAAATTTAGAAGATACAAAAAGTAATATTCGACGCGTTAGTCATTTTGTACACAAAATTAGACGGACACTGGTTAGGGTGTATGATAGACAGTATATTTTTGATCGTCTTAAGTGATATTATTTACTTTTAATACCTTTTACGTGTGATAGGTAAGTTGCTACCTCAGAATTACTAAGTTTTGTCTGACATTTTTAGTCGTTTTGAGTTACCAAGACCATGAGTTCAGAAATCAAATGTTGTATCTGCTCTATCAAAATCGTAAGCTTATTATGAGCCGTTTTCAAGATATTCAAAGAATTGCTTTCGAAAAAGCTTAGCATTTTGTGGAACTCAAAATCTTTTACGTCAATTTTCTCAAAACCAAGTATTGATCGTAGATACAATTCGTAATTCTGAGGTAGACGAAATGTGTAGGCTCAGGTCTCTCCCTACTGTTAGAGTTTATTCACTGGCAACTTTGGTGCACGGATTATGCACTTCGCTGTCATGCGCAGGAGTCCAGACGTTTGAATCTTGGGTCAAGGAAAGATTTTTATCGAGCATCTTGTTCTTTCATCTGGGACGGTGTATTCCATTATAAAAAGCACCTCGTATTTGCCCTGACCCTGACAGGCATCGAAATGATCTGAATGTGTCCATATGCAACGTAAAAAGTACCTACGTTCAATTATTTTTAAAAGTATATTTTAATCCAAGGCCTTGTGTGTACTTCCATAACAAATCGACTAACTTACATCATATTTAAAAAATACAAAAAGTGAGTTAGGGGTTATAAAATGAACATTTGAGTATGTAATCGTTTCCAGTTAGTGTGTTTTATTAAATTAGCTACCCTCAATAGTATTCGCATTATCTGTCCAAAAAACCCCCAACCCAACCCGCCTTAGAACAGCACCCATTGTCGCAATTCATACCTCCAACACCCCCCCCCCCCCCCCCCCCATCTTCTTTTGTAACCCCGCACTCCTCAAGGGGGGGGGGGGGGTGTCTCATTTCACTAAATACTAAAAAAGCAAAAATAAAATACGTTCATTTTTACAGACCCATTCATCTCTTCAGTCGCCCCTTGTTTTCTTTGTTCCTACCTTTCATTTCTTCATCCCTTCATTCATTTGTTTATTAAGTGCTCATTCATTCATTCATACTACATTTGTTCCTTCAATTTTAATGATTTTAATAGTTGAGGATTTTACGGCGTTCGCAACTCATTCACAAGTAAACGATTTTTATTTTAGTCAGTCTTAATTTTGTTTTGTTTTGTTGTTTAAACCGGCGTCTCTGGTGTAGCGATTGTGTGCTCACTGCATACAGACAGGGCGAGTTCGATTCCCGTGTGGGGAGAATTTTTACGGGTACCTACATAATGTGTTTGCTGAGACGTTGTATCCGTCTTGGGCCGCATTAGCCGTGACTAAGGCAGAGCCCACCCAGCCACCCACGTCCTAAATGATCTACATTCTGTTGATAGAGAATTGAAATTATTTTCTACTACAATTACGATTTAATTTTAACTCAAAAATCGCCTCCATCTGTTCACAGGTATGCGGATTCTGGTGATGCTGCTGCTAGACACGCTCCCCATGCTAGGGAACGTACTTTTCCTCTGTTTCTTTGTGTTTTTCATCTTTGGGATCATCGGAGTGCAGCTCTGGTCGGGGGTGTTACGACATCGTTGCTTCTTAGAACTGGACGAGAACGTGTCCTATCCGTAAGTTGTGCTCTCAGTTTTATTTTTCAAAAGGCCTCACTCTCTATCTATCTATCTATCTATCTATCTATCTATCTATCTATCTATCTATCTATCTATCTATCTATCTATCTATCTATCTATCTATCTATCTATCTATCTATCTATCTATCTATCTATCCATCTATCTATCCATCTATGTATCTCGTTTTTTCTGTCTGTCTGTCTGTCTGTCTGTCTGTCTGTCTGTCTGTCTGTCTGTCTGTCTGTCTGTCTCTCTCTCTCTCTCTCTCTCTCTCTCTCTCTCTCTCTCTCTCTCTCTCTCTCTCTCTCTCTCTCTCTTTCTCTCTAAACTGCTACTGTTTCCAAAATCTTGTCAAAAAGAAAATCTCATTAACTGTACTTGACGGCAGTGTTGACGTATTTCCATCGTGTAAAGCACACATCTATCTTTGCTGTCAAAGGTATGTATCTGTATCGAAGATAATGTTATTTGTTGATTTATTATAACATGTTGCTTATCTTTTGTCTTTAGCAATCAGACTTTCAATGTCAAGATATTTGAGATCCAAAGCAGGCATTGTGGCCAATAAACTGTCCCTCCTAGCTTAGAGGTTGCAGTTGTAGAAAAAAAAGATAATTATTGAAAGTATTCGCTTTACCGTGTGTCGCGAGATATTTGTAAAACTGGAAGTTCCTAGATAAAACAATAAAAAATCAACTCTATGTAGTAATATGGTGAACTTTTTTCCATTGAAGAAAACATACGAAAATTTAGGCTATTGCATACTTAAATAGTGCTTCTGATCAAAGAGCACTTAATTACCTTTAAATTGGTACATTATTGTAGCACTTATTGAATTGAGCTGCAAGAATTTATAGGCTTTTTTCTGCCTGTATTTCTGCATGCACCCTCTTTATTAAAAAACAGCAAACTAAGCAAAACCTGTGAACTGTTAATAAAGAATTTTGTTACTATCGTTTTTATTATTGTTATTATTATGTTATTATTATTGTTAAAATTATTATTGTTATTATTCTTATTGTTATTATTAGTGTTTTTATTTATAGTAGTAGTAGTAGTAGTAGTAGTAGTAGTAGTAGTAGTAGTAGTAGTAGTAGTCGTATCATTATTGTCATAATGAACCTTATCATTATTATCATTGTTGTTATCATCATTTTGTCATTATAATAATAATAATAATAATATTAATAATAATAATAATAGCAGGAATAATAATCATCATCTTCATTATTATTATTACTTACACCAATAACATTGTTATCGGTTTTTGTGGTATTTTCTCCTCTCCTTCAACAGGAGTTACGTATTGGACTACTACAAGCCCAAAGGCAAGTACGAGTTCATCTGCAGCGCTCACAACGACTCGGGGATACGCAAGTGCCAGGACCTGCCCTTGTTCGAGTACGAAGGCATCCTCTGCAACGGCACCGCCAAAATGTACAGTAATAATACTCCTACCAACGAATCTTGTGTCAACTGGAATCAGTATTATACCAACTGCTCTCCGCACGCGATGAACCCGTTCATGGGCGCCGTGTCCTTTGACAACATCGGTTTGGCCTGGGTGGCCATCTTCCAGGTGAGTCTATTTTTAGAAGATTAATCAACATCTTATTCCAGGAGAGTGTATTTTTTTAAAAGATTAATGAATGTCTTACACGGGAGTCTATTTTAGAAGATCGATCAACATCTTCAAGGTGAATCTATTTTAAGAGATGATACATCATCTGCTAGGCGATATTTTTTTAACATTTTCACATAAGTCTTGTTTTATAAGATGAAACATTGAGAGAGAGAGAGAGAGAGAGAGAGAGAGAGAGAGAGAGAGAGAGAGAGAGAGAGAGAGAGAGAGAAAGAGAGAGAGAGGAAGAGAGAGAGAGAGAGACAGACAGACAGACAGAGACAGACAGACAGACAGACAGACAGACAGACAGACAGACAGACAGACAGACAGACAGACAGACAGACAGACAGACAGACAGACAGACAGACAGACAGACAGACAGACAGACAAAGACAGACAGACAGACAAAGACAGAGAGAGAGAGAGAGAGAGAGAGAGAGAGAGAGAAAGAGAGAGAGACAGACAGACAGAGAGAGAGAAACAAAGAGGGTGAGGGGGGTGTTTTATTTTCCACAGAAAGAGATCAGTCTATTTCAACGATTCAATAATATACAACTGATCAATGTGGTTCTGTGTGTTTTCCCAGGTGATCAGTCTGGAGAGCTGGGTCAACATCATGTACTACGTGCAAGACGCCCACTCCTTCTGGGACTGGACCTATTTTGTTGCTCTTATTGTGGTGAGTAACCTCTGACACAACCTCTGACCCTTGACTTAACCCTCCAGCCCCAAGCACGTATATTTTCAGCAGCGCTTGTACCTCCCACCGTCCAGAGAGCGTATATTCTCAGGGGGGGGGTTGTTTTTTTTGGTGGTTTTTTTAGGGAGGGGGTATCGAATTTTGTGCATTTTTCGTAATTAGTGAACCTAATTAAACTTTAATGTTCATAATATTTGTTCATTTAAGTTCAAAAATTGTAATATGTTATCATTTAAATCTTATTACAAAGATACTGCATCATTTTTAGCAGGCATGCCTCTTTTTCTAAAAATACTGCTGTATTGGCTGAGACTAGGTTTAGGGAGTTCACAAAAATGGCAGGAGTTGTAAGGGTTTTTTTTTTAATCCGTATTTAATTCTTTAAAAGCGTAGAGGACACACGATAAGTCTAACCAGCAAACCAAACAACCTCTGACACTCAACTCAATGTTTGTCTTTTTTAAAATTAACTCTTTAAAACCGTAGTGTACGCATGATAAGTCTAACCAAGAGACCAAAGGCGTTGCTATGGCACATTTCGAACCATCATAAGCAAACCAAAAACACGAATTTGCATATTTCATAGTATGTATACTGTTGTTGCCTGCCGTAGTAACCTTCACATAAAGTCATCCTCATCATCATCATCAACATCATCATCATCAGCATCATCATCATCATCATCATCATCATCACCATCATCATCATCATCATCACCATCATCATCATCATCATCATCATCATCATCAAGTCTCCTATTTCGTGTTTTTGTTTTTCATGTTGGCAAATTGTTACATAAGTTAAATTGTCGGCACCAAAATCAGGACACGTGGTTCCAGTTGACTGTGGATTTTAAAATAAAAAGTATGTTCGCACAGTATAGATAGTTTAGGAGGTATACTACTTCGGCTCTTCCCCGTTAGCAATTATCATGCTGAACTAAAAAGCGGATAGCCCTGATTCGAATCCTCAACGAAACATTCTAACGTATTTTGTTTCGACGTGTTTCTAAGGCGTTGCGCCCACTTGGCTCGATCTACTCGGAGATTGACGTTAAATTTGGAGGTCCTGCATCTTAAATAGATTTAAAGTGTTAAAACGGGGCTTAAAATTAGTAAATTATGGCTGACTAATGACAATCTTTTTTGACTTTCCTTTTCAGATTGGTTCATTTTTCATGATCAACTTGTGTCTTGTTGTCATAGCAACGCAGTTCTCTGAGACGAAGAAGCGCGAGACAGAACGCATGATGCAGGAGCGGAAGCGCTTCCAATCGTGCAGCACGCTAGCCAGCAACTCGGAGCCGGCGGGGTGTTACACCGAGCTACTCAAACTGGTGGCTCAGCAATACCGCCGGCTCAAGAGGAAGCTCATCAAAGCGTATTATCAAACTCGAGGACTTCAGAAAATTAATCCGGAGAAATCGCTGTCGCTGCGGCGCAAAAAGGCCAAGAAGAAAGGTATACGAGGCAACACAATGAAAAGCCAGCTTATTCATCACCCTACTGTTGTTAGCCACCACCACCACCACCTCTCATCCTCTCACCCTCCTCTCATCCATCATCATCAGCACCAGCACCTTCTTCCTCCCCCTTCCATTCAGTCATCCCAACAACAACACCAACAACAACAGCAACAACAACAACAGCAGCAACAACAACAACAGCAACAACAACAACAACAGCAGCAACAACAACCTCAACAACAACAGCAACAACAACAGCATAGTTCAACAAGTCCAGAGATTCGCTACCAGAGTCCACCCAGACCTTCCAGCACACCACAAGCCCCGCGTGCTAGCCCCGAGCAGTCGGACATCGACTCCATGTCGTCCCCACGGCGGCCCAACTACCTGGTCCTCCCTGGCAGTGACTACAGCCTGAACCCCTCCTCCGAGTCCCTAGCCATGTCTCACCTCTCTGTGGACCCCTTCACGCCTGGTATCCTCAAGTCCCAAACCTCCTCGCCCAATCATCTGTCCGCGCAGTTTGCTTTTGCTCTGCCCCTGTCTTTGAGCCAGGCGTCCTCGTTCGGCGGCGGGAGCTCCCGTCTGCTTCCCTCCCTCCCGGAGGTTCTGGCCGCTCAAGGTGCCAAAAACGCCGCTCTGGCCGCGTCCAACTTGCTGCTCAATATGGACTGTGAGTCTAGCAAAACTCAGTCGGTGGCGGACAAAGGTGAGTGAGTGGCGGTGCTTGCTGTCTTCGGGTTTCATGTGTTCGGTTCAGTTTTGATGACGTTATGACGTTCTTTCTTTTTTTTTTTTTTTGGTCCTCATTACTCATTCCGTCGTTTCCTTCTTTCAAAGAGGAAAGATTATTTTCTCTTCGTCCCGCTGTAGGCATGCTTGTGTTGATGCATGACCGTGTGTGCCGTAACTTCCCTCTCCCGTAGTCACCACATTTTTTATAACCGTTACACTTTCCTCACACGATCGTAGTTACAATGCGCTTACCCCCCCCCCCCTCCATCCCTCACTTGCTTTAGTAGTTGTCTCTTCCCATTCAATATTATGTTTGATTTTGATTTTGTGTGTGTGTATTAACCACACTATAAGTACCAAGATAAGAGTATAGCACTTTCAAAAGTCATCTTAAATGTTATAATATATTCATGGATGCTACAATGGAAAACGTTTCTAAATCAAAGAACGGATAGGGTATTATTGAATTAAAGCGGCCATGTAATGGGCTAATTTGAAGAATGTTAATAGTCTAAACTTGAGTGGCTAGCCACTTCGTTTGAAGAATGCTGTATCCTTGAAAACTCTTAAGATGAAATTATTCATTTGAATCGTCGTAATCAAGTGCATTTTTCCTTTACATTCACACCAAAGCCTAAATGTAATCTATTTGCAAAAGGTGATTCAGAACCTATTTCCAAGTAGATCTAGGTTATTCTGCTACAGTAATAAACTTTACAGAATGTTTAAAAACCAAAACCCAAAAAAACACGTTAGCTGCACAATCACAGCTTGAGTGCCCTTTCCCTCCTACCCCTCCCTCCAAGAGCATTGTTGTCATTGTGTTTTTTGTGTACGCATGCATAGCTGTTCGGTTGTATCTTTCCTGAGGAATGTAGTTTAAACTTCTCTCACGTACTATTTATTTTTTTAACTGTAGCTTAATTATGTGAAACGAAATTTCATTCTCTGCCCAGTTGCTTTTCTTCTGTCGGATATAGCATGCTTCCATTATGTTACAAAGTGTCACGAAAAGAGAATCTTAGAAGATTAAATTGAATGTGCGTTACATCTGACACTACTCCATTTTAGAAAAATTTCCTCACGATTCATGCAAATGAAGCTATAATCAAAATTTTGCACAGGGCATACAAGATAACTTTGTCTTTTTCAGATTGTCGAAGTTTATTGAACCTCATACACGGCCACAGACGGCAAACGATAATTATTGTCAGTACGTTAGTGTTTTGGCGCAAGTAAAATTACAGCTTCCACTGTACAATTTTCCGGAGTTTGGGATTGTTTCTGAATGTAATTAGTATCAGTTCTGCTGGGGTGATAATATTCCCGTATATTGTAAAGCGTACAGCGATGGTTGCTTCAGGGCGGAAATTTGTGTTATACAAATGCTATTAACTAGTCCTTTATAACACGACAGTTTCTGCATTTTTTAAGAAGCAGAAAGAAAATTGTAGGGATGGAACAAAATGCAAGTCAATAAGGGATGCACAAAGATAAGACTGTTAGTACATGTTTTGAATGACCCATGTATCCAATAATGGCGTGCAAGTGTGTGGGGGGGGGGGGGGGGTTAAACATTTCCTAACTAGAAGTGAGTAACAATGCATTATTTGTGACTCTAAGCCATCGTTTTGGTAAGAACAAACCCGTTAAATGGGTTGTGAGCGGTATGGCATGTAGTTAAGCTTTTAGTCTTCATTTTATGGTGTTGGTTTGTGGTGGCCTTAGGCATTCATTCTGCAAGAGGAACCAAAAGTTATCATTTTCCGAGAGCACCATTAAGTGCAAACGTGGAAAATAAAAATAACCTGGAAGCATGCGTCACGGTTTTTTGTTAACAACTAAGGTTACAATATTCATGAATGTTGGGTAGAACCCTCCCAATTTCCAGGGTGGTGGCCCCAGCCTGCTAAAAATATTTTTAAATTTTATTTTTAATTTTCCAAACGGCCTTTTAGATTTTTTTTTTGTTGTTGTTGAGTTTATTTCTTTCTAATGATTAGGAGTGAATAGCATGTTGATTTTTTATGCATTTACAAATTTAGCGCATTCTTATTAGAAACATCCATCAGGCTGCCACTTATAATTCAATTACTTAATACGTAGTCTTAACAGAGTGTTGTTGAAGAGTTCATTCAACCATGTATCGTAACTTAGAACTATATTATCAATGTCATATCATGTAGCCCAATCTTTTTCTGCTGTCCTTGCTCTCTTGGGTAATAATAAAGTCTCTCTGTCAGTGTACAGCCTGTCGGTGTACAGGTTAGCTAAATATTTCTACCTCTAACTGTCTATCTATCTATCTATTAAGATTTTTGTGAAATGACATCTGGTATCAAGGTCTTAAGTTCTCTAGCAAGTATAGATTCAAAATTAAGAGGTATACATCTTATAGCTTAAAATGATACACACGGCTTTTTTTGCACAAGATCGTTAATAGACATTTGACGAAGGAAAACTTTCAGCACCGACTACTAGCAACTGCACACAACTATGTATTCAACCTATCTATTTTACAATCAGAGTGATCTGCTCTGTTCCCTCGCTGTATTGCGCTCCGACTTTGCGAACCCGTAAAAAAAGGGGTGTTTTTTGTGTTTTTTTGGTTTCGGTTTTTCCAAGCCGAGAATAGGTTAGTAAATAGTGAAGCACTATTGACACATTGAGACGCTACCAATCAAAGCACGCTGTTCAGTACAAAGAACTGATTCATTAATGCAATGCATAAAACAAATCAGTTTTATTTTCTTAATACCGTTGGGTTTTCTCGTACTTCACGTGTAAGTAGTGTTTATAAGAGCGTGGAAGAGGGTTAAAAGAGTACAGAGAGATTTTAACTCTTTGAGAAGATGGTTCACACACACGTCCGATCCGATGAGCAGAAGACCAAATGTAATTTATGTTGGGATACTTGCGAATAATTGTACATATATCAGAAACGCAAATTTGAATATTTTATAGTATCCACGGCGTTGCCTGCTATTTTAAATTTCAAATATTCAAAAAAAAAAATTTTTTAATATGAATAACAAACTTGGGAATCTTTTTTAAAAGTGCCCTAAAAAAGCTCGTCTCCAAGCGCTGTCGAATGTCTAGAATGCGGCGTTCTCAAACAGTTAAATGCGGAGCTTACGTTATATAAACAATACATGTATATTGTTTCTCCTTTGAGCATTCTACCCTATCGGAAGAGAGTCTGGAACGTAAACCTGGCGATGTTCGAAGGAATACATGAACTGTACTAGCACGTGGCTCATTCAATGTAGTTTCTAGTCCTGAGAAACAAATAGATGATCTAATATTTCCTGGTGAAACATGGCTGTTTCTGCGGTGGTGCGCCCTAAGCAGAGTCTCGATATCCGGGTTACCTGATTGCTTAGACCAGTGTACTGTGAGAACAAAAATGAGGTTGAGAGTTTTGATCAGAAACAGAGCTAGGATTTTACTTTTCCCCCCACTTTTTTAGAGCTGATATTGCCTTGCCACCGTGTTCGTTAAGTCAAAAAGTACCCATGCACTTTGAAAAAACAGTCGGCAACAAAACCAGTGACATTTAATGAAACAGTCTATTAAATCAATATAAAGTGTTTTAGTACAACCTGCCCAAGAAATGGGGAACTGAACGCTTTTGGCAAAATCCTGCACTGCTTTGTAAAACGATCCGCTCTATGGCCCATTTATCGACATTGTGTGCACCAAAAGGTCGGATATTTAAAATGGCGCTTGCACTGAATCAAAACCCTCTGACTCTACCGTGACTTGGGCGCTCAGAGTTTGACTTCTATTCAGCGCTCTCAGTCAATCGGAAACCTTTGATTCAGTCGGACTCAGCAAGATTTTCCTTCATTGAAGAGCAACAGCTACCATTATGGTTCAGTCACGACCGATTTGACTTGTGACCTTGAATAGCAAACTTGTGAGATTTTGAAGGTCAAAGTAGAATTTATCTGAGTTCAGTCGTGCTGTACTAAAATGGTAGCTTTGGCCTCATCTATGAAAGCAAAGCTGGCTCTCTGTGACTGAATCAAGTGAATTCGATTGACAGTTTGCACGGGGTACTATTTAACTGAATGTCTCTGTTTTGACTGAAACGGTGCAGAAAGTCTTTTCTTTTTTCCTTTTTTTAGGGTTCACTTTATCAACCCGGCCAGCACGCTCTGATTCTGATACGCTACCATCATAATATTTTCTTGCTTTGCTTTCTAACCCACCTCCTTAACCCCCAGCACGCGATTTGCCAGCTGCGGCTGTGTGTGTTTTAGCACACTTGCATTAGCACTGTAGTTTTCTAGTATGTTGATGCTTGCATGGTACATGAGTAAGTATGCCTGAGATTTTACACAGCTATCGCCCATACCCTATTTTGTAATATTTCATTAATTTTCATTTTTCATTTAGCCTTTTATTTCTTAGTTCATCTTTTGTTGAATTCAAATATATCGGTTGATTAGAAAGACAGAAAAAGTAAATATCAGCAAGCACGGCCACCACCCCTGGTTTGTCAATGTTTTGACTGGACAGTTCGCCACTGACATTTGAAGCTGTCACTTGTCATGGGAAGCGTTGGTGCTTTGTTGCAAAAGCTCCCTGGCTTTCTTTATCTGTTCTACTTCTACTCTATTTCTGTTTCGATTTTTCCTCCGTGAAAAATTGATTAAACGTCAAAGCATTGAGAATATTCCCAGACTAAATTGTCTCCACCTCTATTACTGTTTTTAATGTTTTTTCTACTATTCTTTATTTTCTATGAGTTTAAAGAAAAACAGTCTTAGATAAAATACTACTCGAAAGAACAAAGTGTCCGGGCACTCTGAAAATGAGAGGGACCTCTCAAAAAGGTTCTTAGTCTACCCAACCTTTTACTTTGATTACCCCCACGCCCTCCTTAAATTCGCTGGTAACATGAAACAGATGGGGATTGTCTACAAATCAACAGTTTACACTCCCTTTCAGAACGTTCAAGAGCATCGAAAGTCTGGTTCATTTTAAAAAATTGAAAAATTCTCACCTCCTGGAATATGTTAGGCTGAAGGTGGAACCTATGTCTGTCAACTGGACAGGAGCAACGTGGATACAGTATCATGTAAAAATATCTGTACTCGGACTTTATGTGGATCAACATGGCGTGACCGGCTTATGAAATGCTGCTCAAAGAATGACTATAGAGTTTCCTTTTGGTCAAAGTACAAATGCCATGATGTGCCCTGGACATAAAACACAACGTCAAACATGCGGTGGCTTAACTGCCGGAGACAATGACAGATTGTTTTAGTTTTATCATCGTTTATTCTCTACTTCATTTCTGTCTTCTTCCTAATTTCTGTTCTGGACCGCTATTCTGCCAATTTCTTCAAACCAATTCTCTGCCATAACCAATCCACCCACTACATTTCAATTCAACTATGTGAAATCTGGATATCTGGGGGACTGAATACTGTCATGAGTTTAGCACTGCCCAAGTCTATCTGTTTCTCCCCGCTGTACCCCTCCCTATGAGTGTCACCTGCCGCTTGGATATCTTTAGCCCGTCTCTCTCAGAACAAACCACTGTCCTTGACGTCATATTCCCCTTTCCTTTTGTCGTTGTTGTTGAGCAAAAAAAAAAAAAAAAGCAGAATGTATCAAGTCGTCATGAGAAGTTTTGTTTTTAATATGCTCCAAATGTCATCTGATGTTAATGTTGAGCTTAAATCCTCATTCGCTCTGACGTCATTGATTGTAATTCTGGCTGTACAAATGTGTGCTGTTGGTCTAAATATGAGTCTAGATTACGATATTGTCTTTGGAATAAGTACATGTGAGCATGTTTATGTGTACATGTGTGTGGTTGATGGATGTGACTGCCTGAAAAGTTAAAAGAGAAAGGTCAAGACACGAGACTAACTTTACTTGTTAATCTTAAGTAGTACCATGATAATCACTATGGCGACTGCAATGTCCCGGGTTTCTTCGGGGGTGGGGGAGGGGGGAGAAGGGGGTTAGGGTTTTTGGAGAAGGGGGCAGGGGCACGGGTGCACATCAAAATAGCCAACTAAGTCCTCAGGTCAAAAAGGTTATTTCCATGGACTATTGGTTTAGGGGTGACTTTCCCTTGACATAGGCCAAGATCAACCTATTTTTTTGTTCAATATAACACCAGAACTGATCGTTTCACTTTGAAATGCAAATTAATGAAATAGTGGGTAAAACAATTTTGATGGATCAGCGGTAATGTTTCTCTCGAGTGTAACAATCTCATAAAGGGGTCTGCTGTCATTAAGAATCATCCTAACTACCATGTGCCTTATCAGGTAGAATGTTGTCACTCAGGCTTATCCCCTACACTCACTCCTTTCCCGACCAGTCCCATATTTTAATTCTAGTTTTGAAAAAAAAAGTATATTTAAAGAATCAAAATGTTGGATGTACTTTTTTGTGTATTCCAGCTAACTGGTGTAGAGATAATTTAATTGTAACAGCTCGTCCCTATTCGATAAGAATTAAAGTAAGCAGAACTCAATTATAGATACATTCATTTGACTGTTGCCTTCACCTGGGAATTCATAATTGGAATAACTTACTTGAATTAGATGAATTTTACTTTAGAAAAGTACATTGCTTTTAACTGCATTGTAAAGGATACTTGAAAATGCCCCGAACATATTTTGACAGAAAGGTTTCTATATAATGGTTTTAGCTAAGACATAGATTATTTTCCAGGAGTCTTTGATTTAGTATAAGGGATTTCATAATGTTTCTTGTTTTGGGGATAAAAGAAAATATTGTTTTGACAACTCACTTCAAATAGTCTTTAGGTGTAATGAAGACATTGTAGGAAGGCATCATGGTAGTGCGTGTAAGGCTGTGGTTTCCCAAAGCTTTTGGCTGACAAACAGTAATAAGTTTAAGATAACTGAGATGTATAAGAATGAAGTCCACCCTCTCTCCCTGTCCACCCCTGTCTATCTCTCTCCGTCTCTGTCTCTGTCTCTGTCTCTGTCTCTGTCTCTGTCTCTCTGTCTGTCTCTCTCTCTCTCTTACTCTCTCTCTCTCTCCCTCT